GATTTCTATTTGAATCTTCTAAAATACTAGAAATTGAATCACCTATTAAAGATGCAAATTCAGTATTGATGAATAATACCAGACAACTTCACATTCCTAAAAAATTAATACAAGAAAATAACTATAATCATTTATATAATGAGCTTATTGACCTTTTTGAAGAAAAGGGTTTAGGATGGTTAGATAGAATGCAGGATACAAGAGACAAAATATTTATAGAGTGTCTAACAAATGCTATATAGTATATTGATCCACATATCAAACTGATTCAAAATCATGCATGTTATATGCCATCTTTATTTAATTAATTAGCAACTTACAAAGTCAGATCTACTTACAATAATTTTTATTTTACTTCGTATCATAAAAAGAAAACCTTTCTTAATTAAAATTAATTGAACATTGTAAATTAATTAATATAGTGCAAGTGAGATTTGGGCAAGTGAAAAATATTGGGCTGAAATTATTTTTGAAATTTTTAGTCTTGCAAGTATAATGTGAAAATATGCTGAGCATTTACAAAAGTCTTCTCAACTAACTTATAATGCACACCATTCTACTACAGTAGTCCATACGCCCAATAAATATAGCAAATTAAAAATAATTTTAGGAGTTTGAAATATTAATTCTAAATATAGAGAGTTAGAAAAAATTCTTGCTAAAAGGATTTTTATAAGTTTATTGAAATTTTTGAATTTCTTTTAACTAAAAGTATTGGACATCATCAATGGATTGTAGAATTAAAATTATCTTTTCCAATTTGCTTATATAGGTAATTTTTTACTGTATATTTAAATATACTAAATTAAATTAATAAATAAATATTTATTTATTTAAATATAGTCAAGGAAACTATCTTGGTAATATTAATTATGCTTGGTGAATTATTGAATTTGATTGCAATTCTGATAAGCATGAAACTCGCAATGCTCAAATGCTAGCTTCAGTTAATGAAAAGATTCCACAATATATGACTCGAGAGATGAAAAAATCTTTTACAAATAAAGTAAATATATAAAATGTATTAAAAGAATTTTAAACATTTATTAAATTAAATTTACTTAACTGTTATTTTAGTATTCCTTAATAAAGACCTTAAATCTGACTATTCTTAATATGCTATATCATAATCTGATAAGTGATACTTCTGCTTTTAATACAAATAGTAAAGAAGTTCAAAAATGTTTACAATTAATGCTAGAACTTGATGATCCTGATATTATTTTTAATTCTTGAACTAATAATAGATTTAATGGAACTAAATTTGATTCTTTTTGGGATGAACTACAATCATTTTTTAATGAAGTAATTATTTAAAGTTTTATATATTAGTTATATTTAATTATTAAATAATATTAAATTAAGTAATTAGAATACTCTAGCGATGAATGATCAAAGACATGGAAATATTTTATATATGCCTTGGTTTATTTCTATACGAGATCTTCAAAAAACTATAATTGAATGACTTAAACTTCGATTTGGTAATCCTCTTCCTAATACAATTTATATACCAAGTTTAGAGTGGATTCAGTTACAATTCTGGACAACAAATTTAATAGTAAATAATGCAATAAAATATTCTGAAAAATTTAAAATTAAGTATAAAGTTCAAAGTTGTCAATTAGGAAATTTCATTCTAATACACATTATTGTGTAGCTTATTTTTGTTATTTATGCAAATTTGCAATTTTATATCAAGAGTATACATGTTTTATTTCAGCTGATAATAAACACAAAATTCCAATTGGTGAAAAGGTTCCTACTTCTACTGGAGTTGAAAATAGATGCTTATTAGTTCCATTGGATTATAATCTTTTTGCATGTAATCATGATTTTATCAAATTATCAATAACTCCTTTAGTTATTTTTTTTTGTGAAGTTCCAAATAATATTTCAGAATCTTTTTATAATGGAGATGTTTATGTTGGATATAAAGATACTGTTTTTGAAAGTAGCAATGCAATTCGACATGAAACAGAATTTTTTTAAGCAATTAATCAAAAATTTTTAACTGAAATACCTCCACTTTTATGTATATATACAGATGGTGGTTCTGATTATAAAACAAATTTTAGATCTGTTCAAATTTTACTTTTTCATTATTTCTTAAAAGAGATTTTGATATGCTTATTGTAATGAGAACAGCACCATATCTTAGCTAGGCAAATCCCGCTGAAAGAATTATGTCTATACTTAATTTAGGTTTACAAATACTGCACTAGTACATAATGAATTTAGCAAAGAAGAAGAAAAAATTTATGAGCAATTAAATACACTTGATGATATTTAAAAAGCTGCAAATAATAATATAAATTTAAAAAAAGAAATTCAAAATAGTATTATTGAGATTAAAAATCTTTTATATATGCAAACTGAGCAACTTGTTTTAAATAAAAATTTATTCAGTTGCTATACTTCTATATCAAATATTGATATTGATGAATTGTTCCAAGTTAAATATTTTTAAATATATATAAATTTACTTCAAAGCTTATTTTAATTTATTTAAATTTTTAGGAAATAAAACTTATTGATGAAACTCTTCAAATTAATGAAATTACTTGGGCAAGTTTAAGAAAACATAGTAAATTAATGGAGTTCTTAAAATCTCATTGTTAACAACGATTATATTCATTTCAGGTTAATAATTTAATATATTTTTTTAAATTAAGGGTAGGGGGGTATGTAGATCATTTTGTCATATGATTTTGT